TTTAGCCATGACAGCATTCTTTAATTTTGAACTTCACTGCAGTGCCACTGTGGGTCTCAGAATACCTGCATGTTACTGCTGAGACACAGTTAGTGCCTCCCTGGGAGGACCACAGGTCAGCTGGCTCAAGAGGCACAGAGCACATGAGCCCAGTGCTGCTCGTCCCTTTGTTGGTGGAATTTTGCAAGGGACAGTGAGGTTTCATAGCCACCTGGCCATGCTGAGCTCAGAGCAGGAGAGCATCTCCTGGTAAAAAGAGCTTGCCTGCTATTACCGAGGAAATTTCCCCTGTGTTCTCTTTCCACAAAGGTGAGAACATCTTAAAGACTTAGATTTTTGCTTCTGATGTAATTGATTAGTTTTTGCGTACTTCTGTGAGCAGTAGTATCTTAAAGGGAGCTGGGAAATGCTCTTTGCTTAAAGTCAGGACGTTGAACCATCAGCTTTCTGCAGAGAACTGCAGGAGGCTCAAACTCCTTCAGAGCAGGTAGCTGAGGAGGGACATGGGAGCCCCTCCTGTCAGGGAGGGATGCTGCTGCCAGGAGAGAGGCAGTGACTGCTGACTGCCAGGCCTTGCTGATTTGGAGCATGTCAGGAGCTCAAAACCTGTGTTCCTCTCAGAGCTGTGATGTTCTTAATCCACTGCTTGGCAGTATCTTGTTTCAGAGACAGAGAGGGGTGGGCTGCCTCCTATTGAGGCTTCCTCAGTTTGATAAGGGAGACCTCATTGCTGTCTCCAGCTACATGGAAGGAGGTGGTAGTGAGCTGGGGGCTGGTCACTTCTCCCTGGTTACCAGTGAAAGGACAAAAGGAAATGGCCTCAAATTGTGCCAAGGGAGGTTTAGATGGGATATCAGTGAAAATTTCTTCATTATAAGGGTTGTCAAGCATTGGAACAACATTCCCTGGCTGCCCAGGAAGGTTGGAGTCACCATCCCTGGAGGTATTTGGGAGACATTTAGATGTGACACTTAGTGAAATGGTTTAGTGGTGAACTTGGTAGTGCTGTGTTAGTGGTTGGACTTGATGATTTTGAAGGACACTTCAGACCTAAATGATTCTATAACTCTATGTTGTAGTGATTATCACTATAGCCAGTGGTGGTGGGTTGACTGTGACTGACAACTAAGTTCCACAGTGGGAAAAAAGCTCATGGCCTGAGGTAAAGCCAGTGAAGCACTCTCCCAGTACAGCAGTTTAGTACCAGATGCAGTGACTGCTGGAACTGATATGATTTTGCTTTACCTCCTAATTGTTGGCACAGAGAATTCCCTTCTCCAGAAGTCTCCTCACTGTCACTGCATTTCCTTCCACAGGTGCTGTGCTCAGACTTGCACAGACATGTGAGTTTTACTGCAGAGGTTGCTCCTGTTAAGCAATTGTAGCCAGAGCTCCCCCAGTTGTTTGCAGAACAAGGAGATGCTGTGTTTGTGAGATCACAACTATCAGCCCTGTTTTACGATTTTTATGAGCATTAATGGAACAAGGTTTGGGGACTGAAGGAGAAAATGGAATATGAAAAGGAAAATGAAAAGAGGTTGTGAGGAAAGCATGTCATTTCTAAATGAATGGTCTGTGCAGAGGAATTGAATCTTTTCACAGCTGAAAATGGATCTTAAATCTGATGCCTTAGCTTGTTTCAGCTTCTGTAATGAAATAGAGTTTTCCTAATACCCTGTGACCTGAATTTCTCCCTGCTTTATGGGTGCTATTCCTTGACGTACAAACCTGTATTTTCTCAAGTCAGCATTTGATGATGGATGTCAAAATACAGGTCATGTATTATGCATATAGCATTACCGATTTAAGGTGTTTACTTGTCAAGTTGAGGAAATTCAAAAATGTCACATTCACTGAATCTGCACAGCTGTCACTTGTAGTTTTTCATGCCTTTAAATGAAAGTTCTGATAAAGCAGGTTAGTTTCCTGCACTTTTTTTTTTTGTTTTCTCTTCTGGAGGAAAAAAATAGACAGCCTGTGTATGGAAATTAGTTTGTGACTTGGGAGCAGGAATGTGTCTTGAGGGTGTTTGATAGCACACAAAATCCCCAAATATTTCCTCTTCCTGAAAATATTCCACAATTCTTATATTTCTAGAAGTGTCTGAATTAAGTACGAGCAAGGAAATTAAATTATCAGATACTTCTCACATCTTTCAAGACAGTAGGATGAAAAATATTAAGGCATGAGTCTATTTTTCATTCAAGGAGAAAACACAATCCCTTTAACATGCTTCCTGCATTTCAGACTGAATGCACTATGTGTGCAGTGTGCAATTACAGAGCTTCTGACAGTCTGTGTCTAACAAAAATGCCACATTTGCTTCAATCTTCTGACACCATCCCAGGAAGACAGATATTCTAAGGGTTAGAGAGGTGGCTACAAATGGCCTCTGATGGAGAGTGTGCGTGTCTGTGTATGTGCACGTTGCAGTGAAGGGGAGGCAAGAAAAACCTGCACATTTGGCTGAGTTACATACACTAGCTTACTTCAATTTGCTTTTAACTGGCAGGGAAATACTGCTGTGCTCCTACCACCTGAAGGCCCTGATTCACTAGGAGGTGGTTTAGGAAGCGTGTCCTGAGATGTGGGTAAGAGGCTTCAGGAAAAAAGGGAGAGGTAGAGCCTCCAGGGATAGTCCCAGCAGTATAATCCCTGGAGTGCATGAGAACAATATTAGTTTTGTTTATTTTTATATAAGTGAGCATGAAAAGTCATCGTGCTGCCATTTTGACTTGTAATTCAGCAGGGGACCCAACTGGGCCTGCCACTTTAACTGCCCAGGGAATCTGCAGCTACCTGAGCTTTTTCTAATGTGACAAAGGCCATGTCCTGCATCTCCTAAAAGAATGCATTCCACAATACAATGCAAGGCACTGGATTCTGCTGCAGAAGGAGGTGTCACACTAACACCCTCCTGTCCTCAGATAGCATTTCCTCCCCTTGGAGTCCCACTTCAGTTTTTCTGCTGTTGTGAGAGAGTCAGTGTTACCTGTAACTTACAAGGTGGTGACTGAAAGACATCTGTCAGACTGGTGAGCCTGAGGAATCTCAGGCTCTGCCACGAAGAGATAAACATTCAAAGGGCCAGAACAGCTCTCAGTCATAGTGCCAGATACAAGGAAACATCTGCAAACTGAAACTGGCTGGGACCACAACTCCCTGTCACCAAGCTAGTCTTTGTGAGTTCAGCACCACAGGTGGTGTGACATGAATGACTGTTAACATTTCTGATTGCCTCTAAGAAATCTGCTTTATAAAGATTTTCTATCCACTGATGATATTATATAGAATTTCTCTACTGACTTAGGTTTCCCTATGGCAATGTTTTTGTCTTACAAGCCCGTTGAAGATATCATATCCACTTCTTTTCTCCTGAGGAATTTCTTCACAGACTTTTCACTCTCTTTTTAAGCTATCCTGTCTGTACAATCACTATGTTGCATCTAGTTTTCTTGTGATAGTGAGAATGAAATTCTTACCAGTACCTTCTGCAGAGCTAGGAAAGTGTCTTCCCAGTGACTCTAGTTTCATTACCTGTATATTCTCAATGTGATACAGACAAAACATAGAGATAGATGAATGGAAGGAGAACATTAAATCCCATTAAATCAAGAAGCCCAGATCTCACGGTCCTTGTAGTTTAGGGGCAGTTTAAGAGTGATGTAATTATCACTGGAAGAGAACTGTAAGTCCTTAAGACAATATAAACCAGTATGGTATGCTAACAACTACAATTTAGTTTAGAGATTTCCTGTAAATTGGTCCCCAAATAGAAGGCAAGGTATCATATGATCTTCCTCTGAATTCAGTACCAGGTGAATGTATCCATTAATTTAATGGAGTGAAACAACTTCCACACTGCAAGAAGATTATGAATTTAAGTCAGGAATTGATTTTGCTGTGAATAAGTTGAGAATAAATGTATGGAGAATTCAGCACTAGTGACGAAGGACCAAAGGTCTGTCACCTGGATGTCAGGAAATTGGAAATAATATTGAAAGAAAAAAAAATTGAATGTCTTTTTTTTTAAAGTGTGTTTGAAGTAAACTTGGCTCAATTTTATTCCTAGCAGACAAATATTTGTGTAAAAATACTGCCTTGATATTGGTCTATTGGTCTATGAAACCATAAAGTCACTTTCTAGCTTTACCATCACTTCTGCAATGACATTAAATGAGCATTCACATGTTTTCTATAGCTTTCCTGGAAAAGGGGGATGGAATGCACTAGTCAGTCTCAGTGGTGAATTTCCAGGCCTGCTATTGCATGGGCTTTTGTATAACTACCCATTTTTCAGTACTTACAATCAAACTCGAAAAGGTTTTGCTTGGGTATTTTTTGTTTGAAGGGAAAAAAAAAAAAAAAGATGAAAACACTCAATGTCAAGAGCTCCATTTCAAACAGTAGGCAATCTGGCTGAAAACAGTCTTTTTTAAAGGTGAATGTTGCTGGTCTCCCAGGTTTTTTTTTTCTGTGACTGCCTTCCAACATGTTTCTTCTTCCACCTTTATTTCCTTCAAATTGTCACTCTTTCCAGTTCTTTTCAAGCAATCCTCTCACATAACATTTGAAAACCTGTGTCTCTTTCCTTTCATCCTATCTTTTTGTCTTGTAGACTGGGCCCTTCCATCCCAGTATTCCTACAATTGTAGTCCTCATAGAAATGCATATTATAGATGGTACACATGAAAATTACAAAGACCCTGCTATGTGTGGGTGGTAGTGCTCTTGGAAAACAGTTGGATAATTTTAAATCTTGATTTCTGCTCAAACCTAAAACTGGCTAATGGAAGCAGTTCGTTCCTCATGGTTGTATTACCATTTACAAACAGTACTCTTTAAAATCTTAATTGCTGTTTAAGCAAAGGTTTTTGCTTTGGAATGGTTTGTTTTTTGTTGTTGGTTTGTTTTTTTTTTGGGGGGGGGGTTTTGCATGTAGTTTGTCCTCTGTAAACAGTCTCTATTTTTCTCTCTTCATGTTTTTCCCTTCCTTTTAGGCTTTACACCTCCAGGGATGGATAGGACATCTCCAGACAATAGTCCAGTCCATGGCCTTTTACGTCAACCCTCCATTACAACAGGAGCCAATATCCCTATTATAACAGAGCTAGGTAAGAAAAGCAAAAATTTATCCTTCCATATACATTTCCATGTCTTTTTCCCACTTTCCTTGTTATGTAGATACAGAAAAATTACCCATACTGTTACATATTCTCTTTTGATAAGTGTTTTAAATTACTCTCTCAAAAGAAAGTTTAGGAACAGTTGATTCACTTTATTTGAATAACTGAAATATATTTCCCTCCTTTGAGTTTTCTCCATTTTCTTAAATAAATATTCTATCAGACAAGATGATTTTTGCATAGTGTAACAAACAAGCAAGGGTCTTTGGGCTAAGATTAGAAAAGGAAAAAAGGCCAGAGTAAGTATAAGCAGATATTTCCTGTGCATTTAATCAATTGTAAGAGGCCATTTGTTTATTTCTTCATGGTCCAAAACTGTTTAATCATGTGTAACCAAACTCTGTATAATAGTATGAGATATTTCACTCCTGAGAATATGATGATGGTAGGTAACTAGACTCTGATTTCCACTCTAGCTGTGGGTATTTATGTTGTCAAGCGGTGTGATGTGAAGTGCAGAAGCTGTTCTGTTTCTTTCATGGCAAATACAAACTTGATTTGTGGTCCTTTGTCCTTTTGTTTTCTTTTTCAGTTTTATTTTTTAGAGCCTTACCTGTCTTTTTCCCTTACTTTATTCTCTTTCTGTACTTTCTTTCCCCCCTAAATACTTTACTTACTAGCTAAGCCTGGCAAACTTCTGCCTTTGGTTTCAATCAGTCAGGAAAAAAACAGTGGAACCCACATTCTAATGATAACTGAACTGGGTAAGAAGTGCCTTTTTCCTTCACATCACTGTGTTATTTTCTGTTGTTGTTCTTACTGTCATCAGCTTTTCCTTTATTTATCTGGCTGTATCAGAGGGGCTACCCTCATGGCACTGCTTTGAATGTGTTTTATTTGTGGTTCTGGTTGAAATTGACTGTCTTGTTCTGGTCTTCTTAATGATTTTTTTTTCACGCAGCATCAGTAAACCTTTGATCACACTCGTCTGACCTGCCGGCTGTTTCCATAGCACCTCCTCACCAATTCATTTTTTTTGGCCTAAGTCCCCACCTCCCTGGCCCTCACTCTCCTACACCAATTTCTTTCTCCTTTTCTCTTCTTTCTCTTTCTTTTTGTTACTTCAGCCTGTTGTCAATTTGGTGGACATGCCTTAGCAGCTTTTCACAGGAAGTCCAAGAAGAAGTAAAAGATACCAGAAAAAACCCCAAGCATCATACTTTCCCTCAAGCTATTTTTTTGTTTATTTTGTAGAGTAAGGCTTTTTCTCAGAAGCTCAGGTTTTGAAGCTGTAGAGGAGCAGCCAGGCTCCTGCGTGGTTCCCTCTCAACACAGAGTGCTCTCACCAGCCTTTGGAGCAGCGTTTGATGAGCTTTTCCCTATGGCACAGCACCACCCGTTGGCACCCAGCTCTCCTGGCCCACAAATCCCAGTGTGCTAACTTGCGTCAGGAAGATAAAGATACTGAGGATAAACACACACCTGCAGAACTCGTGGTAGATTTTTAGTAGCTCAGGAACTGACCCCACGCATGGCTAGCGCGGTGTCAGGTGTTAGTCTGCCCGATGGAAGTGGAAAAAGACTGCTACTGTCAATGGTGCCTACTCTCAACTAGCACATTAAACTGAGGTGCAAGCTGTTCAAAAAGTACATTTTGTTACAGCAGGCTTTCAAACACTATATTGCTTAAAAATCTACCTCAATTGATAGGTATTGTACTAGAAAAGAAGTATTGTGGATCCTGGTGTTTTCTTGGATGAAAGCCTTCTGATTACCAGGGCAGACCATTTCTCCTATTACAGTACTAAGGTGTTATGTTTTAACAATTACATCAGGAGGTGCAAAGGCAAGAGTTTTAAATTCTCTCCTCATCTCATTTAGACAGCTATCATGAGGCTTTATCTGCAGTAATTGATGTTTTGTAAGTTAAACATAGCAAGCACAGTAGTGTAGAGAGTTTGGAAAAGCAGTGGATGTACAAGAAAACTGTATGGGAAGAATTGAAACTGTATGAGAAGGAAGATCAGAATAGTGGGCAGAATAATTTCTGGCTTTAGAAGTCTAGAGCTGAAATCTGATCAAGTTAACAGCAGTTCTCATGTTATTTTCAAAGTTTGCTGGGGTGGCTCAGGAGATGTGTTCACATGGGGAATAGGGATATCATCAGTGTGTGCAGTTTCAAATGCTCAAAAACTTTTTCATTTCCCTTTCTTGCATGGGAACTGAAATTAATTTGTCATTTAGTAAGCTGAAGGGTATTTCAATGGCATAGCTAAGCAGTCTGTGCTTTCATGCCTGAGGGAGACTAATATGGAAATGAAATATTTCATGAAATACGATCCACTTGATACACTGATCTCAAGGAAACAACTATTTTTAGTTGGAATGAGTTGGAGGCAGAGAGCTTAACTGTGACAATGAAATGCCAGAGAAAGTCAAAATGACAAATACTACTTTATCTGAGCTTTTCTCTAAACCAGCCTGATTTAGGCTCTTTTTCACACTGGCTAATGTAGAATTTGTGGCTGAGAAAGTGAAGTTATAGAGACAAATATTTGAACAAAAGGCAGTGCTGCAAGAGAATAACTGCTCATTCATTCAGATAGATGCATGTTAAAGGGACAGTTTATCCTCTTTTGAGCCCTAAGTGCATTAACACCACTCCAGCAAGAATCACAGCAGCACATCTAACAGATGCCTGTGGGCTATATCAGAATTTTATTGACAGCCTCTATTTTACAATGAAGTTCTAACTTTGTATCTTGTGATAGCATTTCACATTAACTCTACATGCATACAGCTTCAGCCAATATACCAAGATTGTCTCAATATACAAGTTTATCATATATCTCATTTTGAGCACAGGCAACTGGTGCCACGAAGCTGCTTTCCAGGAAAGGGATAGGAACATGTCAAGAACAAGAGTGTCACCTCTTACAAGCAAGATAACGAGCAACAGATTTTTAAATGCACATTTTCACATCCATCTTGATTTCATTTTCAGTGACGTCAAAGACACAAGTCTGTGTTTCCAGACATATGCCGTTTCTTTTTCTTTGGCTGTGTGATGTGTTAGGTCACATGCTGGTGACCCAGAAACACCTTTCATTTCTACTCTTAATATTATTTTTGTTATTTTCAGTAAATGATTCAAATGTTCAGTTCTTGGACCAAGATGATGATGATGATCCCGACACAGAACTGTATCTCACGCAGCCTTTTGCTTGTGGAACCGCATTTGCTGTCAGCGTGCTGGACTCCCTCATGAGCGCAGTAAGCAAACAAATCTTTTCCATTCCCTTCCTGTGAAAGAAAGTGAAGGTGGAGAATCTTTTCCAAAGGTAGGCAGGAGAAGAGGCTTTTTTCTTAGGTGTCAAGAGAATTTTGGAACCTAAGCTAGGTTATTTTCTTAGTTGGATACTCTAACTGAGATATCTATGACTTCCATGAGTCCACAATTTTGTAAGGAAACAGTCTCATGTCAGGTTTTAAGAATCATGCTTTCAAAAAAAAATTGTCCCTTCTGCCTAAAATCCAGACTCAAATTCAGTGTGTCAGTCCCTGTGCTCACCATTCTTGTTAGACAGCATCAACTGTGTTTTGAGCTTTTAATTTCCTGTAGCTATGAGCAATGCTCTGAGTATGAGTGCTGGGGGACACTGATAGAACCCCACAAAAGCCATTGTACACATCTCATGAACTCTATTTGTGTGAAGAGAGGTTATCCTCTCTTTTTCATATGAATTTCCTTATGAATCAAAACTTCAGTGCCTGCCAGAAACTACAGATGGTGGCCTTTGGTTATGTCTGCACTGGGGCTTTTGTTTGCAGCCATAGCACAGTTCTGAAGCAAGCCCCTCGATCATGCTCCTTTTCATCCTCCTCATATGGGCCAAGTTTCCAGACCAGTCTTGCTCTGTGTGAGCTACACTTCATCCAGAGGGACCCTAAACTCTGCTAGATATAGCAAGGACGTAGTCTTTTTAAAATCTGAGCATGGGCTTTCTGAGCTCCCCCTGGAATAAAGTTCCATAGGGCTGGGAAAGATCTGTTGTAGACCCCAACTAACACCATATATGAGCAGATGCATTTCTCTAAAGGAGCCAAGTCTGACCTTCACATGAATTCAGAATGAAACTTTTTTGCTTTTAAGAAAAATGTGTTTTGATCTTTATGATTTATTATTTTATTTGTATTTCATATTTATGTATCTGTATTTTGCAGTTTTCCCTGCTATATTTTCCATATGTTTGATCCACATATAAATGAGTCTACACAGATAAAATTTTATTATATACATTATTATATAGTTATATAATTTATATATTCACATTATAAATGGGCATAATTTAACATGAAGGTTCCAAATGTTTACTTAGAGCTGTTTATATACTCTCATTATTATCTAAGTCAATGTCTCTGAATGTATTGCTCAGTAGGGCACTTCAGAATCAAGAATAAGTAGGGTTAATCCTTCTGGTTGCCACAGAAAGAGTGAGATACTGTGGACATTATTGCTTCCTTGTGCAAAGGTGTCTCAAGTAAATAATAGTGATGCAATAAAAAATAGGTACAGCATTCCTGTTCAGAAATTTTAGTGTTTTTAGTTATTGCTAGCTTTTATTAACTCTTAGTTTTGGACAACATGCCCTCTGTTTTTGCAGTTACATTCTATAAAAGTCCTTTTTCTGAACATTTTCATATCTAAGTGGTGATATTACGTGTCAGGGACAGTGCAGCCTGAAGCCAGAGAAATGTGATAACAAGAGTAGAAAATTCTCAAAAAAATACTAATCAAGAAGAAAGGCAAGGATTCAGTCAGTTAGAATTGTTCACTATCCTGACTTTTCTTTCACCAGTTTTCTGATCAGTGGCAGTGTTATTTTCTCTTTATTCCTCAAAGGCCCAGCAAGGAGTTGGAAAAGAACAATTCTTCCTGACCACTCAGAAAGTGTAAAATGTGTGAGATGCTTTCCCTTTACTATCCATATTCTCATGGGGAAGGTGTGTTATCCTTTTACTTCTTCTCCAAGGAAAAGAGTGTTTCTCACACAAACAAATCTGTTTTCACTATGTTATTTCTTACCTTTAATACCTTTTTTTTCCTAAAGTACACTTGGTTTTAGCAAACAGCTTCTATTTCACGTGTCTAACTTCATACTTTCCAGTATGGGAAACTGAACCCCGAATCCTAGCTAAATTGTGAGATCTGTAGTCATGCTTTCATCCTGTTAATTGCATAGGATTTCTGTAAGAAGTATACAATGTGCACGCTGCCGCCTTTTGCCATTTGGAGACAAGTATATAGTTCATTATTCTATCTACTTAGTGATGCAGTGGGTTTTACTGCTTATTTTTGATAGAAAAACTGCAGTTTATGATTTCTGTTGATAGCTGTGTAATGAAAATTGCTTATATAGTGTACAATGCAAATTTTCATGAACTGCTCCTTTAAGAATCAATCTCTTCCCACAGTAGTGGGATTTTGTAGTAAAACAAAAGTCGAGTAATAGCCATGCATACATATTATTTCTGGGCTGTGGGTCATTTGAAACATGCATATAGATGTACATATAGGGAAAAAAGCTACAAAATATATTCAAATTAATTTGCCTAAGTATTTCGTTATTGGACAATAATAATAATAATAATTCTGCAGTATTAATCAGTATTAAATTATAATTTTATTTTTTATAGTTTTATAATTTTGAAGTAATGCATTAAACCCAACTCGTGAATCTTAGGTTAGAAAATGTGGTAGTTTTCTAATTCAAGTCTGACTGCTGGAGATCTTTACATTCTGCTGGTTTAGCAGTTATTTCCTATAAGATGACAGTACTGGATATTTTAAGTTTGAAATTTTCTGTTATTTCCTTATTTCAAAGGTAAAAGGCTTAATGTAGTTTGGTTTTCAAAGTGCCATGTACTGGTCATGTACACCCAGTTTGGCTTTGCAGCAAAGGCAGTATTTCCCACAAGGCCAGGATTCACAGTGCAGTAGCTCAAACACCATTGCTCAGAGGACAATAACCAGCTCAGAACCTGCACTGTGTTGTTGATGAGTTGGGAGCAGTGATCTCACCAGGTTTGCTTCAAGAGCTTTCCTGTGCTCTGTGGGAAGGCTCTGGGCTTGGTTCACGTTTTAACTCTGGCAGAGGCTATTGCTAAAATGCTCCAGCTAATCATTGCTATGTCTTTGAAGAGACGTCTAGTGCCATCAGGTACTTAAATGCCTGATATATTAATATTTATTTTTTCGTTGCATATGCAAACCCAGGGAAATAATACACATTGTCTGTCAGTCTCAAGGCAACACCACTTCTGGAAAGCAGAGCATGCCTTTCACTAAGTGAACTGTAACTAAAAAGTGTGGGATTGGAAGCATCTTTTAGGTTATGTAACTGGTTTTTAAAAATGTTATCTTCAGCTATATAAAAGTTATGTGACATAAGATAAAGGAGCAAATATTTGAGCAGAAGGGCTTCTTTCTGGGTCTTGTTGGGATAGTTATTCCATAAAATCCTGTACATGCAAGGAAACCAGTTTTCAACCCACAGAACCTTCAAAGGTTTGAGCAGTTGGCCTGAGAGCCAAAGCTTCCCCATTCCTGCTCTTGGCACAGAAGCACTGCAGCAGTGGTGGCAGGCTGGGGTCCCTCCCACAGCTGCACTGCAGCAGACCCAGGTGCTGCTGGAGACAGGTGATACCACTTAACATTCACTACCCTGGAGTCCATTTCCTTGTGCCAGAACTTCAGGTGTTGATTGTTTTCTGTATTACCAAATCCTACTTTTTCTTCATATAAACAGAAGTACAGAATGGAAGAAAATCATTAAAACAGTTAAAAATAACTTCTCATTATGTCCCATACTCAAGAATTCTCCCTAAAGGATCCTCACAGTCTTATTTATACAGAAAAGAAACTATTCTAATCTTTGTTATGAACACAAGACTATTTTCCATGCAATTCTGTTCAGAGAATTAGTAAACAGCATCTTGTAACTTAAAGCATCCCAAACTTCTTTAAAGTTTGGACAATAGTTTAAGAATTAATAGATTTTCAAATGCTGAAATGCTGTTATTTATTGTCTGATGTTTATTCTGTCTCAAAGACTCTTTTGTTATTGGTGTGAATTACTGATGTTAGCTTAGTCATTCCTCAGGTTTGGATGTATATTATTCCTCCAACTCAATGAGAAAAGCAACTTAAAGAATTTGTTTGAAAGTGAGGTTAAAAACCACATGTGGTGGAGGAGGAGGAGGAGTCTTCTTAAAAGAAATTCATTTAAAAACCCACTAGCAAACACAAAAAAGGCAGATATAACTTGAAAAATGAGAATTTTAGTGTAATTATAAATGAAAGGCAAAGTGCTATTAAAGTTAAAGCAATATTATTAAAAGATGTGCTAATTTTCAGTTAAATTTTCTGTAGAAGACCAATTAGTTTAAAAGACATGACAGCATTAACTGCAAAACATAAGCACTCTGGTAATTATACTTTAAAAATGATTGAACAAATAGGAAAGCATCCTTGAAACATTTGAAAGAGCTGCACTACAATTCTGAAGCAAAGGCTAGGTGGCACTGCTAGCTCAGATATCTGTGTCACAATTTCCTTGCTATTTACCCAGTTTCAGTGTGTATGATGCATTTCTTTTTTTCTGTGTTTAGAATACACCTATCTCATGCTCTCATTCCAGATGCTGATTAAAGCATTATCACACACATGTCCAGTGTGGGGTTTGGTTAACGACAATAGCAAACAAGTATTTCTTCAGTTTTGATTTTACACTCAACAAAAGGGATTCTTTTCCATCACTGGAAAGTGCCTTGTTACTTTAAGTACAACAGCACCTTTCCAAAGACATTCTGTAGATCAGTTTCTTATAAGTACTGGCATATTCAGGCCATGTACCCTCCCACAGAGCAAGTAGAAGATCACTCTCAAATTAATTTCAGTGTATTATTATTCCAAAGGAAATGGATATCAGCTAGTTCAGCTTTTCAGTGTTCCCCTAGTTCCAAACTGGCAAGATGTAATGAGGAGTCTGATTTTTGTGACAATCAAAAGCATGGGCAGACAGCTTTTTCTTGAGGAGTGCTAAATACTTTAGTACAGAAGGAAGCAACCCTGTTTAGTGAAGGTGAGAAGTTACAGCTTCCAATTCACCCATCTATTCTTGCTTATGGTTGGACATTTTCTGATCAGATGCAAAGCTGCAGCAGTTTGTCCTGAAACTTGGAATATTTCTCCCAACGATTGAAAAAAAAAACAAAAAAAAAACAACCCAACCAAACAACAACAACAAACAAAAGACAAAAAAAACTAAAAAAAACAAACCCAAGAAAAAGAAATGTCTTTTGGCTGCACTCATCCATCTGATTGAATGGTGCCATCCACATCAGTCATGGTGTGAAACCCAAATTAAGCCATTGTTCCACAATGAATGCTGCTTCCTTTGCTAATAAGGGTCTTAGCTTTGCCTTAGAGGTATAGCACAGTTGCCAAAGAGGGTGACTCTGATTTCATCTCTGGGACATCAAGAAAGAAGTAATTGCAAAATAAACAATCATGCCTGAATGTCTTCTCTCTCTCACAGTGGCAATTCCTATTAAACATCATGTAATCGCTCCAGACTTACATTCCTGCAAGGGGTCACATTGATTTTTCCATAAGTTAAGAGAGGTTTGAGTATTACACTTGAATTGTTACCCAGTGCATCCACATGTGTAAGGGCTGATTTGAGATCAGCTGTTGTTTTAGACTGACTGAATCTTCATGAACCTCTGCCTATGTCAGACTACTCGTTACAATATGCTTTGTAGCTAAAATATGTAGTGCCTTACACAGGTTAACTTAAATAACTGGAGTTGATGAGATGCAAGTATTTGCTTTAGGGCATGTATAACAGTAAGAATATGTTCCTCTCATTTTAATTTAGTCAACAGGTGAATGGCATATATGCCTATGTAAATAAGCAGAGAAGCTTGAAGTTAGGAAACTTCAATGTAAATTGAAAAACATAGCTGCGTAGAACTCATTTTCTTCTGTTTTATCTGTCATCTCCAACAAACAATGAAACTGAAGTTTCATTATACAAAGAAAGAATATCAAAGCAACATGGATAGGAAGCCAGTTCTGCTTTTTGATCTCAGGATAAAATATTTCAACCTCTACCTCAGTTTACCCATGTATTAAATGCAGTTACATTATATGGCTAGAGCAGTGAATTTCATTGAAAAGCATTATTTTAAAAGTCTTATCTTTAGACAACAAGCACTGTTGGAGAATTCACTGTTCATTTTTACTTGGTTGGATTACAGGCATTTGTTATAAGTCCTAAATTCAACAAAATCCTGAAATCTAGTAATGTCAATCCTGTGTACTCTACAGTGAGCTCATTTTTTCCTTTTATGTTCCTTGCACTTTCAAAGCTTCTGAAAACTCAGACATTGGTGACATTATAAGTGACAGTCTTTCCTCTTTTTTTGTTCAAAGTTTTTTTTTGCCCAGTACAATACATTGCAGATGTTTAACTGAGTATGTCTGAACTATACCAGTATACTTTTAACTGAACTTCAAAGTCATTCATCTGGATTTAAATTAATATTTTAAATACCCATTGTTTGCCTGACAGACCAGCAATGCTACAGATGCTGGCAAAATGTCAGTGTGGAGTAAATCTTCCCTAATAAACCACACTTACCCTATACCCTAGAGTTTTTTAAAAGGACCACCAGGATCCCAAACTCATCATACATTTATCTGGAACGAACTCAAGATGTTTAATTGATACATGCTTATGTCTGAACACTGTCAAGTCTCGTAATAAGATGTTTAGTACAATACATCGGTTAGACTGCTAGAGTCCAGCCACAGTAATAAGTAATGACATTTGCAGCACAAAGGCAGCTCCCCAACGAATTGGTGACAAGAGTAAAAAGGCAATCTAGCCTGTGTAAGCTTTAAATGTGGTCTGAATTTTACAATTACATGTCCTAAAGCCCATTATTAGACATGAGGGCGATGAGAAGGAAAGCAGTCATTGCATCACTACTAACACCAATTATAGGAAACATAAATCATTCAAATTTTTGTACTTTAATAAAAATCAGCCTGAATTGGTGTTTAAAAGGAAGGATCTAGTATAGGAGCCTAATGGGAAAGAAGAAAATAGAGTAATTGGAGGCTGCTGTCTTTTCACTTTCTATATAAAATTATTTGAAGAGACAGCCAAGAACTTTAAACAGCAAAAACCCGGAAAAGTTGTAATTTGGATGTCTTCAGTTGTGACTTTAATGGTGTTTGCTTAAAGAGCTTTCTTTTATCTCTGCAGACATACTTCAATGACAATATCCTCACACTGATACGGACATTGGTAACAGGAGGAGCCACACCAGAGCTGGAAGCACTGATTGCTGAGGAAAATGCATTGAGAGGAGGTTACAGCACGCCCCAGACACTTGCAAACAGGGACAGGTGTCGAGTTGCTCAGTTGGCTTTGTATGATGGGCCATTTGCAGACCTAGGGGTAAGATCATGAGGGAAATGCAGGACCAAGGCTGGTCTGTGCTCTGTTAGCTTTCTCTCAGACTGAGTGAAAAATCCACCTCAATAAGCATATAATTTCTATTATTGAATTTAATAGAGCTTTTGGATTGTTTAAAAATTGAGTGCCTCAGAGTGCCAGGTTTGCTCTTTACCTTTTTAAGAAGCTGTATGACTGCCCAGGATCCCTGCCTGTGTATTTCATACAGAAAATCCTGTGGCTCTTCCTCATTGTCAGCTAAAGAGATGGATGAGCTGATATGGATGATATAACCATTATAGCAATAATGAATTCTAAATTTATTCAATATGTATAGATATACCTTTTCTGGGTGCTGATAAGCTTATTCAGTGTTTTCACAGAGCTTCCAGTTCTTGAAATCTGCTTATTAGCTTGAAAACAAAGGTTTGTAAGGTTTGGTTTCTGCTGGTTTTGGATGAACTAAAATTCTTATGAAATCCTAATCTTCTGATAATTTGACTGCACTGTTCTAAGGGTCAAAAAACAAGCAAAAAAATTTAAAATCCCAAACGAAATAAATAAATGATCTTTTAAAAATAGCGCATCATATAAAAATAAAATATCTAGAAATATTTTCTGGACCACATTATGTAATCTTGAGGTAATCCCAAAGCACCCACTCTGCTTTGATGATGTTGTAGGATTTGATGGTTCTTAAATTAACCCTGTGTTGACCAGCTCTGTCCAAAAAGAGCAGAATGACCTTCACAGAAATGACAGGGAATCCCAGTTTAAGGATTAGGGCAGGAGTGCACAGATAGAAGCCTACAGCCTTCAGTTGATGTAGCAGTCTAGTTGCAGCTGAGACTAGCAGCACATCAAAATTCTTTGGCATGCAGCTTAACACTTCCACAAACAAAATAAGCAACATGAATCTTTTGAATGCTGTTTCACCAGAGCCTCAATTGCACTACATCTGTGAAGGCAGAATGCATTGACACTCATGATTATTTAAGAATCACTATTTTGGATATACAAATGAGCAAATCTAAACTTATTTTTTGCTAATCATACATTTAGCCATTATTTTACAGCAGCAGATAATTTATTATCCTTTTAAACCCATTGAATTCTAATTTCTGTTGTGCTCCTCATTTTTTTTTTTGTCTGGATGACAGTATGACTGCTGCCAAGAAAGGGTCAAAGATACTAACAATTTTAATACCACAGTTAATGTAATTTGTAGAATATGCATTGTCTGGTACAAAAATTTAGATTTCCAGCTTAAAGCAAATCACTCACTTTTTCTAATTTGACATTATTTTATGGACTAAGGCTCTCCAAAATAACAATCATCACTTTATGTATTTACTCATTTGAAATAAAACATTTAGATTATTCATTTCCTTGGGTAAAAGGCTCTCATTTGAGACAAACAATAGACTGTCTATACATTGTCCCTTTTTTATAAGTTCATACTGTAGGACTGTTCCTTGACGGAGTAAAGAAAGGAAAAAATGTGCTTTTTTTAATCTCTTCTCTTTCCTCTAGGACGGAGGTTGTTATGGAGATCTCTTTTGTAAAGCACTGAAAACATACAATATGCTTTGCTTTGGAATTTATCGATTAAGGGATGCACATCTAAGTACTCCCAGCCAATGCACTAAACGGTGAGTCTGGTCTTTTAGAACATCTCTGCTTCACTGCTCTGCAGTCTTCTCAGCAAGGAAAAGCCCAGTGCCTGTAATAAATATAAAAAAGAGCTTGATCCATTTTTGCATAACTTTTCCACAATCCTCTTTTAAAGATTTCACTATGATTCTATCTGAATTTAAATCATAAGCTGGATATCATAGTGTAAGTTGTCAGCTGATTTTATTAAAAAATTTTTAATTAAATATTCAGAGTGTATCTTTAGCTTGTTTGCTCTATGATGATCCACTGTTTGCCTGCAAGGAAAGGACTTCAGTTCCCTTATATGAATCAACTCTAAGTTGTGGGATAATAATTTAAATTACAGTAGCTAGTCTTTTTTCTGAATGCTCAAATAATACTCCTGTGGGCTTCCCATCAGTACCATCTGTGTCTAAGCATAATTTCTTCCAGTAAATGGAAACCCTTCTCTTGGTAGACTACATTTTTACTTCAGTAGCACCAAGCCTGACCTTAGCGCTTTAAATAGAGCAGACACATTTCCATCTTTGCAAACTGAAGGCCGTTTAGCAGCTTGCTTGAAATGTGTCTTAATTAACTGCTTCCTAGAAATACACACACAGACCCATACCAGAAGTATCACAAATCTACCATCTGTTACTGTTTCATGCTCTACAGAAAACATCATTATTGGGTGAACATGGCAATAAACAGCCCTACAGCCCACCAAAGCGGCTTCTTCTGTAAGAATTTGAATAAATTGGGTAGAAAAATTGAGTTGCAGTTTAGATTTACACTGTATTTACTATACTTGGGATTATTTGTTGGCGTAATAAGGGACTTCTGTCCCTGAAGGAGCTAAGCAGATTTCTTGTGAGCATTGAATTAATTTGAAAAGAAGTCATGAGCTTCACATTCAATTTTTACTCATTTCTTGCTTGGACAGAAAATGCCGATTGCCTCGCTCAAGTCTGTTTTTCACATGCATGAAAAAATTTAGCAGCTGCTCTTATAAGTCCTTCATACCCTGAAAGGCCATTAGGTGAAGGTGGGGATTCATGAAATTGAGCAAGTTTTTTATTTTAGGCCTGGGATTTATACTAAGCAATAAATTGGATTCTTGGATGTGCAGATTTCTCTTTATAAATGCTCTTTGAGGCCATGAATGTACATGTGGAGTGAATGAACAAAATTAACCTTCCTGTAAAGTTATTGATGTATTTTCCTTAACTTGTTTTAACTACAGTCACAATCCAGACCAATAATTATATCCCTTGTTCTGTTGGCTATATTTAAATATTTAATAACTATGTAAATATGTATTTAAATGTGATATGTATTTAAATAAGCTGCATGTGAAATCCTCCTCTCTCTGCCTTTCAGCCATTCTTTTAAATACTGTTTGTGGTGGGTATGGTACTGTTTTTTGTCAGTATATAAATATATTCGCTAGAGTCATTGCATTATGGTGCAGTCAGAAAAGGACCATGATTTGTCTGGTGGTTTCTCTGAAAAATCATTATGTGATTCACTTGAAGAACATCATTCTCAGGCATTTTGTCTTTCTGAAAGAAAACATAAAAAGTGACAGCTGACTTAAAAAGGTCCTAAACCATAGCGGGAATTATGTGAGCTAAAACTAGGTACAAATAGAAATGCAAAAATTGGGCTAAGTGTTCCTGAGCTAACAACTCTAGAAGAAATTTTTTAGTATAAATCTAAACCTGTTTTCTTTTACTTTCTTTTTTTCTGTCTTCCGTTCCTTCCAGTTATGTTATCACAAACCCACCGTATGAATTCGAGCTTGTGCCGACGGACTTGATCTTCTGTTTGATGCAATTTGACCACAACGCTGGCCAGTCCCGAGCCAGCCTTTCTCATTCCTCCCATTCCTCCTACTCTTCCAGCAAGAAGAGCTCATCAGTCCACTCCATCCCATCGACAGCCAACCGACCGAACCGCACCAAGAGCAGAGATTCCCGGGACAAACAGAAGTATGTGCAGGAGGATAGACTTTGATATGTGTATCTGCTCCCACTGTGTGTGAAACTTGCATTCACCACCCATTCTCCCCGGTTAATGTTTCCAGCAGTAATGTTCCCTGTTTTCCCATGGAGTTCTCCCTTTTTTGTACACATATTTTGCATATGTATGACAGTGTGCATGTGATTGTCATTTTTATTTCACCACCATAAAACCCTTAAGCACAACAGCAACAAAGCAGACGGACCAAAAGTTATTTATGATGCTAGGGGAGAATAAAAAAAGAATACCAAACCCATAGGCACACTGAAAACATAAATAACTCACTGCAGTTACTCTACATATCCGAAAACAGAGTATATTTAACATGAACACTTGCTCTTGATGTCAGAGTTACACAAAGAAAGTCATTTAGTGCAGAAGTGTTGATGTATGTTGCAGTAGGTTTTTTTAATACTTATATTTACAGGAGCTCATACATTTATTTGAAGCTTATAAAACTCTCCTATTGAAAAAAAAAAAAAAAACAAAAACCATGCAAAAAAAAAAAAATCCCTGCTGATTTTTCACTCTCAAAGCTTATATTATATAGGGCTTACACTCCTTGTATAGATTACTGCTAGACATCTGCTTTATACCAAAGCAATATCAGGGACTTTTCTGCTTGTTCAAGAACTTTCTCTAAAATACTAGTCTTTTGGAGATGGTATATTTTCCCTTTAACACTGAAATTGTCGGGGCATGAAGTTTTACAACTCCAATGGTTTAATTTAAGTTTAGAAAGAGTCTAATTGCATATTAAATTATTATTCTGTCTATTTATATTGCCACATGAATAGCTATATTTTCTTTCACTTTTGACATTTGGGATAAAAAGCCATATGTATCATAAATATTGGATGTAAGTCATTAAAAACTGCCTTCTTGGGACTTTTACGTCTTTAAAAGGTGAATTAGTCACCTTATGTACAGAATAAATAATGTTCAGAAAAGAGCAAGCATTTTTTCTATGCTTGCATATCAGATCTCAAGGGACTTTGTTCCTTTCCCCAGATGGTAGTTTAACTTTTCCAAGTTAGTGTTCATATAAATCTTCCAACAAGGGTCCTAATATGTGAAGAACCTCCAGAAGTCTTGCTGCGTGTTCTACCTGGTGTTTTCAACAGGTGCATGCCAGTATGCAGGAATACAGGGAAGACAACTGAGTGCCTTTAAGTCTCTCCCATCTGGGGAGAAAAGGTGCTGTGCCCCAGACTGTTAATGAGGAGAACAAGAGGGCTGGGTTGGAAATACTCACAGCGCTGAGGCGTCGTGTTCCGTGCACTTGCCAGAATTTAGTTCTTGCAAATTGTCACCAATGACACATGTAGCCAAAAAAAGTTGTGGCAGGGAGCTAAATAAAGCAGTGGAAAGGAACCTGCCCTAGACAGCCATAGGAATGATAGTCCAGGCTTGCTTTTACTTTTTTTTTTTCTAGGTTTAAACTTCAGAAGCCAATGTATATTTTGAAATATAAAGCTAGCTCTAGGTTTATGGAGGGTTTCCGAGGGTAGGGAGGGCAGAAACACATACCCCCTTCCCTGGCTATCCAGCAAGAAAGCATGCAGACAGAAAAATATTTAGATTTGGAATGATTAGCATTGTAACTGCCAACCCAATCAAGGTGCTTTTATGGTTAGTTTTGTCTTCTACCTTCCCCTTCCCCACGCATGATAATTTTGAAGATTTGCTTGCTGTGTGAATTGACAATGAAGCCAAGCACTTTTACTGACAAAACCTGGAACCGTGTAAGTGGGCTACAGAGAATACCACTGTGCAGTGCTGAGCATAATGATTGGAATACAGTCTATATGTGTGAGTGTGCATTCAAACGCAGCTGTAAGTCCAATCAGTGAAATGCATTGCAAATTATGGTCGCTCCCCTACAAATGAGACTATTACAGTTGCTCTTCACCATAAAGAAAAATTCTCGTGTTCCTTTTTGCAAAGAAAGTTATCGTGTTTTGCCCTCAGAATATTTATTGCTACAAGGATGTGCCAGTTAAAGTGCTCAACCAGAAATATGACAGTTTAAAAGCATTGTAAAACTTACATAGCTTACTTCTTTTTCTAAAGTGCAACAAGGATGAATAGAATGGGCCAAGGTATGAAAATTAATGGTTCTGCATGACCTAGCAACTGCTGTGGGTTTCCCTCTATAACTTTGTCCTTGTGAAAACTTGTGAAATTAAAAAAAATAGTTACAAACCTTATTCAGTTATTGGTTTGTTTGTTTGGTTGATTGTTTTGTTGGTTTTCTTTTGTCTTTTTTTTCCCACCAAACCAGAAGTAAAACTGGCTGCTGCTGCTGCTGCTGCTGTTTCTCAACCCTGTTTTGTTTTTTTCTCCTCTCATCTGCTTGCCTTTCTAATTGCACGTGTCCTTTTGTAAACACCCAGGTTCCTGCTCAATGAAGATGCCTATCGTGGTGCAGACATTACTTTAATTTCCCATTCCTCATTCCAATTTCTTTCCTACCTTCCCCTCCCTACTCTCCTATTCCCCATGTATGTACATGAGCATCTTTTTATGTTGGCAGAATTGATTGAAGATAGTTGAGAGCAGTTACACATTTTGGAAGAATGTTAATGGCTTTGACACCAAAATGCTTTTCCATTAATGTTTTATCTGTTTTCCATTTAGCAGAGAAAGAAGGTTGTTAATATGAAGCCACTTGTCACATGCTACATAATGATCTTTATCTAAAAAAATAGTATTTGTATTACAGTGCAGCTCAAATAGAAAAGACATAAACAGTGTACATTAGAGAAGTAACTTGCCTACTTTGTGAGCAGCAGAAGAGGAATATCTAATATAAATATAAATCAAATCTAAATTCTTCAAATTACGTTCGAGTCTACTCCACCTCTGTCCTCTATCCTGAAGCTAGAATTCTAAAACTTTTGACTTTTGGTAGTATTGTGTACAATTTCCACTGCTGACTATAGTCAGATTGATCAAATACTTTATAGTGATGAAGGTTTTCTGATATGGATACACTAATGGAGCATTATAAGCAGAGAAATACTTAAATCAACTTTATATTGGTGTTTATATTGAAAAGTAAGAGGAAATCTCCTGTTCTAGCCCAGGTCAGACAACCATAGTAGAATGGTTAGTTTTTGAAAGTAAAGAATTATCACTAATGTCAGGAAGTGACATTTTAGGTTTTTAAATTAAGGTCCTGCCATTTATATCAGTCCCAGCATGGTTTCAGCATTGGAAACCAAATTCTTAGTGAGCTTAAGCGTTGACACAAAACCACGTCTAGCAAACCTGCAGGATCTTGGCATGGGTTCCTGTTGACCTGAACAGAGAGAGTCAGGCACTTTCCAGTGAAATTCCCATTGTCAAAACTAAGAATTCTGGTTGTTTAAAAAATAAAAAATCAAGAACAAGTCCAGAACATTTTCTTTGTCACAAAACTTTTGTTGCCCTGGAGTAAAGTAAAGGTCTTCATATAAAAAATAGTTTATTCTCTTTTCCCCTGCAAATTTCTTACTGCCTGCTGCATGTAAAATATTCATCTGCTAAACAAAGAATTTCTGAGCAGGTGGGTGGAGAAAATTTCAATAATTTTCTTTCTCATGCAGGAACAAATTACATGGAATAATTTTCAGCTTAGTTATAAACAAAATGGTTACATGCAGGGAGGAGACACACAAACATATACATGCAAACTAATTTGAAACTGCAAGTGTCACAGAAGACAAAAAATGCATGTTTTAAACAGTTGAACAGTAACCTGGGATTATGGTGAAAATACAAATATAGTAAAACCTTTGTGTTATGTTTGGGTAGTATTTTCTTTGCCTCTGCTTAGAAGAGAGGGTGTTTCACAGTGACATTTGCTCTAAGTTGCTACTCAGTCCAAAATTAATGATAGAAATTTTAAAGCACCAATACAATGAATCTCTTGGAGAGAATTGCTGCAATCCTATACAACTTGAAGAAAACTGTGTTTTGAGCTTTTTACTTTGATTATTTATATCCTTTTTTTTTTAATGCTGTGGGGAAGAGTGTTCCACAAAAACGTTAATTTTTATTTATTTGTAATGTGAGCATTTAGCCTTTTGAACCCTCATGGATGCACTGATGCTGATAGGCCATTACAAACATAGATGTCTGAGAGGAGAGTGTTTTCTGCCATCTGATACATTCAGTTACTAAGCTGTTCCAACTTCTCTCAGGTGATGCTGTCAAAAAGAAGCCTGTCAAATAGCGTAGGAAGATCAGGGACTTTTTTAGCAGCTCCTAAAAAAAATAAGGTAAAAAACTATGCCTGTTGTCACTATAATGTAGAAACATTTCTGGTAAGGATCAATATGCATATTCCAAAAGGGAAAGAAACAGACTCAATGTGACAGAGAGCTTAAAAATACTTGGTGAATATAGCAATATATAAAGACTTTAAAAAGGGGGTTCCTGAGCTGATGTAAAGGAAAAAGTAAATATTAAAGATAAAAATCTGTATTTAGACTCTGGAACACATACCAAAAGCAGACTTTTAGCATAGCATAAAAGACTGAAAAGTGTGTAGGGGCTTCAAGAAGAACATTTAGTGACTGGGAGCAGAATATCATAGTGTCCAAGAGTAAAGATCAGGGGTGTTAAGCTCACATTTCAAAGGTAAGTAGAGAGGCCAATGAATTTGCACAGGAGATTCATTGTTATGTGGTCAAAGATAATTATGACAGCAGAGAGGAACAGGAAAGGTATAAAGCTGGATCTAAGCATTGCATGCTGGAGAATGATAATGCTTGGGTCAAGGTTTCAGCACTGGCAAAAAGAAATCTAAACAGCAAAAGACATTAGAATCTACCAGCTTCTGCATTTATTATTAATGTTCTGTATGTATTACTTGCCAGGTAAAGGCAAAAAGAGACTGGGTGGTGTCTTTTTAAAGAACAGCTCCCTGTATAGGAGTTCTATTTTAAATTTAACACATAAATAAATAGCTTATTTGGAAAATTTTAGGGAAAGCAGGGTATTTTGAAGTGCTTTACACTGGCTGCTGAAAAACACAACACAGTTCTGATTCCTAGCACTCACACAAGCCTCCCCTTACTTGCTACAACATTGAATTAACTTGAACCAAGTTCTGTTTGTAAGGAAAGTTTTTGCACCATGTGTTAAAAAAAACAAGGTAGCAATGAAAGTTCACGGTGCTTAACTTGCCTCAAAATCATTTTAAACACAAACCATTAGAAAACTGTTAGTTTGAAATTGTTTATGTGATCTCACAAGGCTTTTAAAACATGATAACCATCACACTTTACACCTCTCTGAAAGGTTAGTTTAATCGTAGATCACATAAAATTGGTTTCCACAAATGCATAATGGTTCATGTGTCACACTTGAACTAAATGGTTTTTAAATGGAGCTGAAATTATTTTGATGTGTACACATTCCCAGACTTCTTTTTCCTACAACCTTTCTTAAACCGGCCCCCATCAGGAATCATTCCCTTAAAGTCTCATTAATAATTCAGATGTTCTGATTACTTTAAAAGATCTATGGAATTGAGGCTTTTTTTTTTTTTTAACTGCTTGACAAAAAGATAAATGAATGTAGAAAGAAACGGTAGGAGTCTGGCAAGCTGTAGATCATCTCTGAACAGATTGTAACTTTATCATTCTGTCAGGAAGAATAATTTAAAGCACTTAATCAGTTAGCTTCAGTGTGCAGGATGTAACATTATGAATTCCTATCGTCCAATCTGTTCAAATCAAAGGGAACTTAATTATAATAGGTGAGAGAGAGGGAGATGGGAGATTGAACAGCGTTCAGACTCAGGCACCTTTAAGGGGGCAGGGAATTATTTAGTCTGGTCACAAATGAGTGGGATATTTTTAAACACAAATGAAAAGCATTTTAGAAAATTACAAGAAAAACAATACAGTAGTTCCATTTCCCTTCAGTAATAAGCCATTATTAAGTAATATGATTCCTGGGTTTGATTTAATTTTTTAAAAATGTGTAAGAACAGGTAGCAAAGGTTTTAATGTGGAATGGGGGTTTGGCTTGTAAATTCTAAAAATCCACATAAAGCGGAAGTGGTTTAATTTTTTATTCATGAAAGTGACTGAAAATTCTGGAGGTTAAGCTACTTCTTGAGAGACTCTAAACTCCAAAGGTCTTTGTTTATTTTTGTGCAGTTATGTCTAAGTATTTTTCCACTATTTTTCTCAGCCTTTCAATTTATTTTCTCTCCTTTACCTCCTGAGCTTTTGTGCTCAGTCCTTGGGTTTCTAAGGTGAATTTTGCTTGCTAATTTTCAATAATTATTTAAAAAATGAGCATTCTTTCCACTCCTGTTCTGATTCCAGTGAACCATTTCAGTGGTTAGAAAAGTAGCAGTTTATATTATGTAAGTGAGGCACTAACGCTTCTGCAGTATTTTGGATTGGAGTGAGAAGCAGTGCATACATGTTAGAGTAGCAGCTCTGATACAACACACTTTGAACCTCCCATGTAATAATGAAATGCCCAGAACCATAAGTGTCCACTGCTCTCCCACCCACCTCTGGAACATGGGGAACGAGGACAAGAATGGAGGCAGAACTCTGTTCACAAATGCTTGTCAAGGCACAAGTGCACCTAATGGCCATCAGCCACTCTCTAGATCAGGAGTTCCCAAGTCCTGGAATAAAGTTTTCTTGTAAGGTTACATACCTGTCATTGAGAAATTACAGCAGAAAATGCTCTCTAAAGGGTTTAAGAATTGTTTTGTTGTCTTTTGTGAATTTCAAGAAGCTTTTGTCCATACCTGCAAAGGAGCAGTGCAACACAGTGGTTACAGCGCTGAACAGCGGGAAAAGGGCTGCAATGCTGCAGCCTCTCAGCATCCTCCCACATTGCTCCCAGCCCACCTTAAAGCTGCACCATAAAAATTCCTCCTGTGCTCATGGAAACAGGCATTGCTCAAGGACAGAAAAGAAAGAGCTTCCTCTCTAATTTTCCTTTAAGTCCTCACTTCCTTTGCCTTGCAGTCACCTATCCGGACTGATCCATTCAGGATTAGCTGGAGCCCCTGCCACCGTCACCTGCAGTGTCTGCTGTGTTCCCCAGCCCATCTTAAACTCCACAGTTCAGCAGAGCCCCAGCACCTGTGTTTCAGAGTAGGGATTTAATGCCCACCCTGTGCAGCAAGGCTGCTGTCTGGCAGCAGGAATACAACTCCTATTTATTCTAGCACCAACTGCCGAAAGTTCTTTATGTTCTCCTGCATGATTTTCTGGGCCAGCAGTAGCCATCACCCCAAGGCCGAAATGGTTCAGAGAAGTCTCTGACTCTCTAGGTGCTCCTCTGTGCATAGACTCACATGCTCTTTTCTGTATTACCCTTATCCCAGCTGCTCTCCTTGGCTTCTTAGTTTAGACTTTGATTTTTATCTTTTTTTTTTTTTTTTTTTTATAAATGAATCACCAGAGCATGGGCACAAGAAAAGAGCTCTCTTACATCCAACAAGCAAACTAGCATATTGGCAGTTTTCTTTAGCTTCTATTATCAAATCTGCAAGCGTCATCCTCCTTTCATGACTGTATTTTCAGAGGTATTAATCTAATGCACTGTACTGCTAGTAATTGGTCAAAGTCACCTTCTATTGATCTCTGTTTTCTATAAACTTTACTGACTGCTCCCTTTTTCTTTTCTTTTTTTTTTTTTATGTTTCTGTGTATGTGTGCTTCACTAATTAACACTTTCATTTTTCCCTCCTTATTCTGTCTCTACCCCTTTTTGCTCCTTAGCAGAAAAGAAATGGTTTACAGATGAGCCGGATAATGCCTATCCCAGAAACATTCAAATCAAGCCCATGAGCACTCACATGGCCAATCAGATCAATCAATACAAATCGACAAGCAGCTTGATACCACCAATACGAGAAGTTGAAGATGAATGTTGACTCCTTCGAAGCCAGAACTATTTTTATAAAGCCTGACAAACTTCATGAATGGTGATGTGACATTTATTCCTCTTACTTGCTGAACCACTGATGGAGAAGTTAAGAAGGGCACGCTTAATGGGAAAATAAAGTAGACAGATCTTTGTTTGTCTGCCTTTAATATTGCTTCCACGTATTTTGGAAACTATTTCATTTATAAATGAACATAATCAAAACTAGTTCATGTATAGCCTCTAGCATTTTAAATTATTTTTATTTATTAGAAAAAAATATATTTTTCTTTTCTTTTTCATTGTTGAGTATTTTCCCTTTTAAAAATGGCATATGTGGCCAGACTCCTAAGAATTAAAAAAACCCAACAAACCCTCAGTCTTTGGCTTAAAGGAGAATGATGGTCACAGTTATAAGGATATGTAATTAAGGGAGACAAATGATATATTTACAAAAAAGAAAAAAGGTCCAACTTGTATTTTAGTAAATCAAAAAAAAAAAACCCAAGAAAAAACCCTACACTTCACCAAAATGTTTCTTTATCGGAAGATGTGTATTTTGTTCAGCATTGACACCAGCTCTTAATAAATTGAACTTATTTATTTTCAGAGTTGAAAGTCATATTTTTGTACATGTAACATTCTTCAGAAATGCTCTTTGTTTTATGAACATATAGAGATCACCTTGGCTGTGTGGAGGTGCAGTAACCCCTGGCTGTGCCCTGCCCCTCTGACGGTGGCACCACGGGAGCACGATGGGGCACAGGCACAGGGAATGTCACCCCCAGCCAGGGCCAGGGGCTTGCAGGGCACTTGCTAGGAATGGCAAACCTGGCAATTGCACTTCACTTCCCATCAGCCATCAGCAGTTGCTCATTTCAGGAAGGCAAGCTTGGCAATTCTTCTTCTTTTGCCATTATTACAGTGATTTAATCCAGAGTGCATAAAATAGTGCATGGAAGCATCAGTTATAAACCATCTAATCTACCACATTTTGTTACTTCCTTACTTCAGAAGTGCTGATGGCCTTTCATTGGTCTGAGATGGTACAAATTCTTCCTGATATGTACAGAGATTTAGCTCCAGAGCCTTGCACTTTAGTAAAAGCTCATACCCTGGTAAAGAGCACACTGAATGTCCTTTTGGTTAATTCAGTCTGGGATAAAAACTGGTTTAGCTCCAGCTCTACAATCTCACAACATGCTGTCCTCAGTTAATTCCTATAATAAGCAACATCTTATTTTAGCAGTTGGTTTTCTGGGTCTTTTCCTTTTATTTATTTTTACTTTGCTGGGACACCACACACAAAAGTACAGTAAAAACCAAATAAAAATAATAAAAGTGATGAATGTATTTATTATGATAACATGCAAAAGGCCTTTGATGGGTGCCTTTTGTGTCAGCAGTTTCACAAAGTTGCCAACAAGCTTTATAGCCATCAGACAAAAATGTGATGTTTCATATCTGTGCTGCAGTATCCACCCACCCAAGCGTTTATGTTCTAAATGATTTTAGTTACTCTCTCTATCTCAAATAAGCAACACGTGACACAATTGTGTGGAAACAAAAAAAAAAAAAAAAAAGGAAAGGCTGTGATAGTAGGGAAACAAAAACCAAAACTACAAAACCAGTGTCATCAGGAAAAGCAGATTTTCATTGTGCAAGTTAACTTTAGGCTTTGTAATTTTGCAGAATTGTTAAACACCACAATTAAACATACCGTGGTATTTTTATCATTAGAGAAATATCAGTGAATCAAACAAATACAAAGCAGATGATGAATTTATTGTGAAAACAATGATGTCCACTATGTAATCCAACATTTAAGCCAAACTATCTCAGCTTTAATGTTTGTCCACTGGCTGCAGTACAAGTATAACCATACTAACACCTAATAGGCTTTATTCTGGAGTGACTTCTTGGACTGTGACTATTTTGTTGTTACATTTTGTAGAATAGCTATTTAAAGACAATAATGAGAATTGTTAATACAGTATCTGTAAAATTGGATTGTTTAAAATATTTCACTCTCCTACAGAGTAACAAAACAATACAAGCAGTTTTTCATTATTACTTAGATGCATGTTTAATGCATTTCACAGTCCCCAAAAGAGAAGATAATTCCAGTGAGTTCTTCCAACATATGCTGCTTCAGCTAGTGACACGTTATAATTTACATCCAGTCTCTGCATTGGGTCATGTTAAGCCTTTTCTTTGAAGTCAGTGCTCCTTTTTCATTTATGAACTGCATTCATATTACAACCAGAATGAAAAAAGCTGGTCCTGAGTACAGGAGAATTGTAGAAATTTGTGTTCAACCTCACCAAATACATATGAATTTTGTTTTTCCTGAGAAGACTGGTGTTTACTCTAGGGGCATAGAACATTATGTCTTATACCTTATCATATACAGTGCCACTTCTGAGTGTCCTTCCTTCAGAAGTGAACATTCACTGGGTAAAACATACTAATGAGTCAAATACAGCACCCCTACATTGCTGAGGTTTGTGTGTGTCTGTCCAATTTAACAGTCACACCCCGAAATGCCATGCTATTGTTTGTAAATAAAGGACAAGACTGAACACATTCATGGGCTTTTCTAGCACAGAGAGCTCCATATGGAATGGTTGATAAAACAACACCCACAGAGAGCAAACAAGACAGAGAGAAGCAGGTGGGGTTATGGGTCTACATTTCCCATTACAGAAAGGCTAGAATCAGTGATATTTTCTTACTCCTTTTTTTGATAATCAGAGATGCAGGATGGATGTCTGGAAATTAGATGGAGGAACAGATAGAAAAGGAGTTGGAATCTTTGATATTCAGCCATTAACAATTATAATAAGGCCAGCACCAATAAATGGATATTTGAAGTTATATCAAGGCTATGAAAAGTGCTGGGAAAGGGACAGCTGACAGACCACATGATGACTGATACAGAAATAAGTTCTTGGTTTTTATCAATGACTTCTACCCCTGTCTCAGAAGGCAAAGATTTAAAAAAAAAAAAAAAGGGTTTGGAGGATTTCCAGGTTTTTTGTGTTGTTTTTTTTTTTTTTTTTTTTTTTTTTTTTTTTTTTTTTTTGTTTTCTGGGACTGGTTTTTTTTTTTTTTTCATTAGTTGCATGCACTACTGACACAGGCTATAGAATGTTTTTTGGTAACTCATGTGTTGGATAAATAGTGTGTCTGTGTGTGTGTGTTTTTGCGTATATGCATGTCCACACATGCACACACACATATCTAACTATGAGGGCACACACATGCACACAGATGTACAGGGGTGTGCAGGTATTTGATAGAGTCATCACAAGAAGGTGTCATCATTTTTATTTTCCATGAGCTGGCTTGAAGAAAGGCACAGAAAAGAATATGACTTGCAGGGCAGCATATAGAATAATTTTTTCCTGCTATTGCCACCTGGTTTGACCAGAAGCCAGCCATCCTGGTTAGTTTTATGAGAGATGCACTGAGATTATGCTGCAGAGGATAAACTCTCACTGCTGCAGCTGGGCTGTGCTCCTGGCTCTCCTCACACCCTGCAGTTCTCTGCTCCCACACTGCCAGAAAGTCTGCTGGCTCTCTGTTTCATGGCTATTGGTTTAATTTGGCCCCTGAAGCCCCTGAGCACCAAGATGAAAGGATAAAACTGTCCTCTGATAGATTTGGTGGCAAGTGCCAAGCACAGCAAAAGTTAAGGTATAAAATAAAGAAAATATTCATAGTCTAAATGCAAATTTTAACACCTTGATGTGATTGTGTAGTTCCTCCTAAAATATTAAGTACATGATATATTTGTTAATAGGGAAAAAACAAGATAAAAACATTTCCTTGTACATTTTAAAAGCATTCTAAAACTGTCTCTGACATTTTAACACCTTGTCTTTCAAATCAGCATCAATGGCCCAACAGCAGGGAATACATGGGACAGAAAGTACAAACCCCTTGATCTGGGCCAGGCATGGTCAGCTGGATGTGAAAAGAACTAAATGGCCTCAGCCAAAGGCAGGACAGGACAAATGTAGTTTGCAAGGCAAGGCACAGGAGACACTGAAAAACATTTAGACTTTTATTATACATTACTGGGTGGTGGTAGATGAGGTTGGCTATTTTTGGCCTGCAAAGGAAGATTTTGCATTTCTTGAATTCTTCATGTAGTAGAAGGAGAAGAAAGCAAAATAGTGTGTTCTCATTCAGGTTTTGCTGGGGCTGTGTGCATCTAAACCACAGCTAACAACTACTGCAATAATTGGTTGCATAAACTGGTGAATAAACATATATGACAAAAAAAAGAGCAATAATTTACAAATGGCTAATGATTTGTGTTTTCACTGCTTGGCCACTCACTGGTCAATCCATAAAATTGTTAACAACTGCCCTGGACTAGCTGACTCACATGGGCACAAAATGAAACATAGAGCAGCTGCTTAAATGGTTTTAAGTGGATTGCTAAGGGCTCCTGGATCCCAATGTATTTGAAATGAACACATATTGAGGTCAATGTGTGTGTGTGTGTGTGTGTGTGTGTGTGTGTCTAGTTTTTACAGGTGTTATCATTGTGAATTTCTTCAGCACCAAAAGAAGTGTGTGTCTCACCTTTCATTTCTAGTTTTGAATGTGATTAAACAAAATAACCAACAGTGTGAAAGGCAATGAACGGGACAAAGTGAAAACACAAATCTGTTCCCAGTGTTGCAGTGGATTAGCCTGGGAATATCAGTCAAAGTCAATGGCAAGTGCATTAAAAAATTCAGAGGAAAGGAGAATTCTTTATAAGCCTTCTGGTTTTTCCTTTCTGTGGCATCTGAACCACCAAAATCCCCAACATGCAAACAAGCACCTTTTTAATTTTAGGTTTTTTTTAATTCTAAAGGTTCTTGAATAATCACAGGCTTAAAGTAAATATTTTTAAAGTCATTATACGTGCACACCAGGTCTCCTAATATTCCATTCACAGTATTTTCATGCTGAGCAACAGTATTGGGTGTGGGTTCCAACCCCATCCGAAATAATGAAAGGAATGTAGTGGCTCTTGTGCTGCAGTCACTGCCCAGGATGGTGTGTGGGCCTTTAGCGTGGATAACTCAGTGCCAGCGTTTATCAGAGCTGTATTTCTGTCAGTGATGCATCTATTCTGCACAGGTCCTCTCTGCTCCAGAGCGCGCAGCCACGCTAAGGCTGGGCAGCTCTGTCCACCAGGGGCATTCCACTGGAGCCAGCAGTGAGGAATGCTGCTCTGAGCTTCCTGCTCTGCACAGTGCTGCGGTGCTGGTGGCTGCCAGAAGGAGAAGGAGTAGGGAAAATGAAGAAAATATAAAATATAAGGTATTTGTTTTCTTACTTTGGTTCTAATTTAGAGCAATATCTAATTTAGGAAGCTAAACAGTAATGCTGCATCTAATTAGAACCTTTATGATGTTGAGACAAGGTTTCTTACTGCTTCAGCCAATGCATTTTAGAGGAGATCTCTATAAAGTAAAAAAAGCAAACAACCCAGAGCACAGCATATAGGCAATTGAATAAATGTAATAAAACCCATAGATTTTTCAGAAACAAAAAATTGTGGCATATGAGCATTTTGTTGACTGGATGATAACTAGTAGGAACCAAACAAGAATGTCAGCAGAAGTTATGTCAAGCAGTTAAAAAATTTCTGCTTCTGCCATGGTCCCATAGCTTGGGACACACATGCTTAGCCAATGCAAATACTCTAACCTCTGGTAAGAAAAAAAGAAAAAAAAAGAAAAAAAAAAAGGAAAAAATGTATTACTTTAACTTTCTCATTTCTGTAGAGTTCAAAACTGATGAAACCACTTTCTTCCTTTGGAAAAAACACACACATGCAAATACATATATACAATATCTTCTGATTGTTTCACATGTCTACATTAGTTATAGTTTGGAAGTGGAGATGGTGAGGGGTACACTGAGAACCAGCTAGCATCTTAAAGTTCATCAAGAAAAAGGAGTATGACTTCATCACTTTACTTTTACCATCATGGGTTGGTGAGAGAGAACAAATGCTGGTGCTCAGAAATGATCTACCTGACTTTGTCATATGTAATATCCAGTGAAAAATATATTGTCCTGTAAAAAGGGTTTGTACATAACTTGTACATTGTTTCATTTTGTATTTTTCTCAGATTAAAATTTATGTATTTGTGTTCTAAAAGAAGGAGATATTGCTGTGGGTTTTTTTTCTCTTCTAGAAAAGTTTGCAACTTGTATCACCAAGTCATAAATATTACAGCATTCATGAAACCAGTGCTATTAATACATTGACTGAAGACTAACCCCACCGACTTTCTCTCTTGCTTACACTCCAGAATCACACTCCTGGCTAACAGTAATTAATATCAGCTACAAATGGAGGATGCTGTGGGTGCTATAAATGAGTAATTCTGCACAACAAATGGCACACTAACACCAGCTGTGTCGTCAAATACAGATAAAGTTGGTATAATTTAACAACTTTTCATGGTTGAACAGACCATTTCATATCACCTTTAGCTCTGATAGGTCAACTTAAGATGGATTGATAATTTCGCTAAACAGCACAAGATTTTCTACTTTCTCATGATGATTACATTTAAAAATTATCTGCAAGTTTTGGACTATGTTTCCATTGCAGGAAGTTAGGTATCATCCTATGTGCAACTGTATGGTTTTAGGCTTAAGAAAAAAACACTCTCCTTTTGGAATCTGTAAGATTGTGTGCATGTGGCTGGCATTCTGCTAAAAAAATAACCTTGTCATTAAGGCTGACATCACTGATCTCCCAAAAAAGCGCCCCCCCCCAAAAAAAAAAAAACCAAACACAAAAACAACAATCTAAAACAAAGAAAAAAAACACTCACAAAAAAAAAAAAAATTAGTCTCTTTTCAGTCCTCCCTTACTTCCCACAAGTCTGCCCTTTGCCACCTGATACCTCTAGGGAAAATATTATATTTTAAAAAAGACTGTAAATTTTCTCTTTCTTCAAAGACAGAAGACATTCAGACCTATTTCTAAGTAAGGGCACTCAAAGACCCTGAGCTTGATTTCTGGCTGTATGTACTTGACTGACCTCTCCAAAAAGCACTCCCCTTCCTCCATGCTCCAGCTCTTAAAACACAGATTTATTAATACACTTTTTTCAAAGCATTCATTATGCTAAAATTTTCACCTACCTCTGGGTCTAGTTTGCCAGGTTTTACTTTCCCATTTTTTTTCACCAATGAGACACAAGTGTCCAGTAACCAGACACTTTCTGTAAAAAAAAAATCTTACAGTCAGTGGGAGAGTGAGTTCAAAGTATCCCAATGGAGATGCTGGAGTGAGATGAACACTCCAAAGCACTTCTTAATTTTTTTACAACTTTATATTCAATTTCCACTTTCTTTTCCTGCTTGGAAGAAGAAACTCCTCTTTCCAACATCTTTGTCTTCTCAGGCTCTCCCCAGCGACTTGGAAATCAAACCACAGTAACAACTTGTAAAATATTTTATTGCATTTGAAACCACTGACTTTTGAGAAACTTTCAGTTTATTCACTCCAGTGTTATCCAGTAAATTCTTTTTTAGACATCAGATACAATAAAATACATATATGCAAAAGCATTCATTGCAAGATACAGTGCAAAACAGATCAACAAATGTTGGTTTTCTCATGGATCAAAGACTTTCATGTAGGATGCATAATCCATGTGTGCAGACTGAATTAGGTAGCCCTTCACTCCAGGTGAATAGCTTGAATGCAAAGCTTTTTTGGAATTAATGAAAGCAGGACTGTTCCTTTACTTCCAAGAAAACTCTGGTGATACTAGAAGCCAAGAAAACCCATGATTTTCACATATATATTATTTTCCCACTGAGGAAGAGAAGGTTTCAAACACAAGTTTTCCTTATGATAGACTTTCTGAAGGGTGCTGTAAAATTCATTTCTTATCCCCCCTCACTGCACATGCTCGGACATCCCTGTTCTGTCTTTTCATAATACACAAGCCTCTTTGCTTCTTCAGCAATATTCTAGTCACATAATAAAAAATAAATCACCCTTTCATCATTCTGCATATGGACATAGTTGCTATGAACTTATAATAAACATGGGCAAGACAGTGGAATTTAGGAAACCTGGAAAGTTTTCAGGTGAGGCTACCATGGAGTCACCCACACTGATGAACTGCTTCCTGAAATACAGGTTAGAGAATCAAGTCCAAGCACGTTATGAAAATTATCAAATTATTTAAAAACTCATGCACTGACATGGAAACCTGGAAGGATAAAAATAAGAGATGATTAGGTGAGTAGACTATTACACGGGGCAATTGAGCTGGAGAGTTTTACTGAGGGGGTATGGACACAGATAAAGTTTGGGTAGCTGGGTAACCCAGTCATTTGTACGGATGGCAAGTATGACAAAGAAATCCCTTTTACATTTACCAGTTGAATTAGAATTCCTCTTTCCACTGTTGGATCGGTTTCTGCAAGGATACATTTCTAGGTTTTGCAGGTATTTCTCGTACTTGGACTCTGCCCAAATAATTTGCAGGGAAGATCAGGGCACAAAGCAAAGAAACTGCTTGCAGTTATTTGACTCAATTTGTTGTAGCTGGACTTTTAAGAAATAGTTCTGTTAATGTGTGCTCAAACATCTGCAGAGTGTTTTTTAAAGAAACCAGCAGTCTGGTCTTTGTAACCCGCTTTGATGTGTCCAATCTCACTGAAAACTTTGCTCTGGCCAGAAGGAAACCCACTGCTTTCCAGCAGCAGGGCAAGCCCCAAGGATTATTGCCCTTTCTAATTCACATTCTTTCTTCAAGTCAATTATTACCCTCATGCCCTCTGTTTACTCCTAGGAAATCAAAACTGTCTCTATAAACAATAGCAAAATCTATTCTTGTTTTACATTATGTTTTTCTTCCACTTGTGCTAAAAATACCCAAGATACACCTGGAAATCCCTTTCAGAATGAAAGAGATCAGTCAGTGTATAACATGCCCAACATGCATAACATGCTTTACTACTGAAAATAGTAGCTGGTACTACCCAGCTAGCTACCCATGCTTAGCTTTATCCCCTTTAACACTTAGCTTCGTAGTATATGGGAGTTTTAATATTATTATGATTATTGCTACTTCCTACCACTAGGACACACATCAAGAATACTGATCAGAGCAGCTCTCTACAAAACAGTATCTCTCCCACTTCTGCTGGCACAGGATATGAGTCCTGGAAGAAACTGATGTAAATTTGATTCCTTTACCTTTAAAATATCATGGTGTTCTTCACAGTGACCACTGGGGAATTTGTACATGGTCTGGGCTTTGACACAAGCACACAGGGCTCCTCCAAAAACAAACAACAGGAATGCTTGCAGTCCTGGTAACAGCTGGCTCTGCAGGATGATTTGTGCAGTTATTAGCTGGGAGTTATTTTCTACAGAGCCCTTGTAGTCCATTCAGTGCTGTTGGAGGCTGCAGGATCAGCTCATCATCCTCCAGCCGTTCTCTCATTAATACACCTCTGACCTGGAGGCCTATTCTGAGTGGGACAGAGACTCTCTAGTCAGTTTAATCACCTGTCTCTTGGCTATGCTGTGAAGACATAATTATCAGGATTACATTGAGAACATTAATTTAGAGCAAAAATAATACTGTCTGTAAGACTTTGAAGATTTAAATTCCCAAGACACAGTAGCAGAACCCTGGTAAAGCCCATGTTGTTGGACAGTGACCTATAGCTGTGTCCAGGTCTCACAGAGAATATTTATTTCATAATACCTTTAGCATGCTCAGTAAGCACATGCACCATGTTCCTTCCAGCAAACAGCAGCTCTTTAACATAAAATGTCTTTTGAAGGCAATTGTGAGTCTTGATTGTCTATGAAGGGAGACCAATGTAACTGGGTAACCAAGACACTTCAGTTTAAGTGGAATGAATCTATGCCATGTATTCTGTCATGCCTTTATGGAAGAACAGCTCTGATATACTGCAATGAAAGACATTTTGGTAAGGGGGATGGCTTAAGGCCACCTTCTTTTACAGCTCACCTATCCAGGGAAATAATAGTAACATAGAACATGAGCTTTTGTTTTAACAAAGTTATTTTTCCGTTTAGAAATAGGAAGAATCTCCAAAACTTATGATACATATAATTTTCCATGCCTCTGTTCTTAGACTCAGCCCATGGTGCATAGCTGAAGGAGCAAACCTTTACTCCATGTTTAAAGTTAACCTGAAATATAATTACATGGAATCTGCTATTGTTTATTTGGAGCAGTTAGCTTTCACATGCTCTGCAGATTAAAAGAAAGTTCTGAACCCCCTAATTTATGAGACCAACAAAGAAATAAACATTATTCAAAATTGTTAAGGAAGAGGGTAAGAGAAGCAGAAAGCATATTTGGCACATCATTAAGAAAAGATGTGTTGGAGAAAGTGGAGTGGAGAAGAGAAGACAGAGCAAATGGCCAAACATTAAAACAGAAAAGCACAAGTGCTAGATCAGGAAAGGAAACCAACTGAAAACATGAGGATGGGGGGGAAATGACACAAAAGAGCTCATGGTGGGTGCAGAGTGATCAGGCCAAAGCTAATGAGCTTCTTCTCACACTCTGAAATCCACAGATCTACCACGTGCTCCAGCGAGCTGTGGTTGCTTTCCATAGCGAGGCGGATGACTTTCTATCAGATGTGTCACTTGGGGAAATAATTGCCAGCAATAATGGTGCAATAGCAGCACACTCCGAGCACAATTTATCCATGTCTGTTCTATCTTTCAACTTCAAAGCTTCCACTGCCTCACAGATCACATCAAAATGACACCTCTGTCGTTAATGACAGTGGTCTAATGCAATACTGAGAAGTCAAATCACTTCTCCAGATAGGCAGAATGCCTCTTACAGAAACTAGGCATGTGCACGGGTCCTGACATTCATATTCAGATTTGTATTTGTGGGGAAGAGGGTGGGTTTGACATACAGATTTATTCACATTTGCAACGGCCTGTTTTATAAAGCACAAAATTCACTAAAATTAGAAAGGAGTGGGGACAAGAGTAGTATGCGGAGCCTTAACTTATGCAAAGTGAATGCCTGGATGTAGGAAATTTCCCTTTGCACAGCCCACAGCACGTGTTAGCCAGTGTCACAGGTCAGAGATGTGATTTGTCTTTAAAGAAAGAAAGAAACACATGAGTCAAATAAAGAAAAATGTACCTTAAAATGCACACTGTCCTTGTAGGCAAATGCACATATTTTTCTGGATCTAGGAACAAAACAAGCTGCTGTGAAGCCCCTCCTGGTGGTCATTACTCAGGTAAAGAAGAAAGCTGGCAAACTGCAGTTATTAAAAAGAAAGAATTGTCTGTTTATTTTCCAGTGCTGTTTGAAAATTACCATAGAACAGTAAATCTCTAAATATGAAAAATATGTATGCTGCTTACATAGTATACATAAACACACATGCAGCCAACATAGTGGCAGGGACACCATTTGTTTAAGTTTCATTAAGATGTGTAGTTAAAAGCCTTATTAAAAAGGTCCATTTCTCACTTCAGTGAGTTCAGTGAAATTTATTGCCTGAGGGTTAAGTAATGCTTCAGAGGAAAAATGAGATTTAGGAATATTTTCATATGTTACCATCTTTTCCAACAGAAACATTTCCTACAATGGCTGCTTGGATGGAGGGTTTAGACTTCACTGTATGTTTTCACAGTGCTTTATGTATTAAAATAGACAATCAAACAAAATAACCAGCTCTCAGCTTCACCTCTAAGGAAAAAAAAAGGGAAAAAATCTTCTTTGGGTAGAAAGCAAGACCAATTTTTTGTAACAGATTTATTTTTCTCAGTTATTATTGCCATTCCACAAAGATGCTTAGAATACTCAGTTAAGAAGACAAATAAAGAAAGGGAAATAAATGGAAAAGGAAAATTTTCCCAAACCCCACATTTTGACCTGTTTGGATGGTGAAAAGGAGACTTCCTAGCAGCCATTAGCAGTGTACTGCCATTGAATGGGTCTATAGTGTAAGTTACTGACTGAATATTCGTGCGCTTTGTTTTGTGTGCTGGTGGCCTTGTTATTTACTGATTGTAGGCATTTTGGAACAGCCTAACTTGAAAATCAGTTCTGTGAATCAGATTTTGCCTCTAGATTATGGGCTAGGAGAATGCTTCCATGAAACTGAAAATCCTCATGGACTGGGGAAGTTTACAGAGGCATGAAGAGACTGTGTACATCTAAATATAATGCACTGAAAACTGCAGTGATTCTCCAGTGTTTTGTTGCATTGGTTTTGTTTTTCTTTTTAAATTATTTATCTTAAAGCTGTAGATAGGAGACTGCAGAGAGATTGACACTGCTCAGGTGCTGCTGCCCTCTTCATCAAGGGAACAAATTTCAAGCAACACTTATTTCTTGTTCTGTAAATATTCAATGGCAGCTCAGTCATCAGGCCTTGCTTTGGGATAAGAGGGAGGAAATTGCGGTTTGGCTTTTTCTGAAGAAATTAGGATGTTTATTAATACTCGTACTTTAAAGCCAGCTTATTTAAGCAATAATTTTAATGATGTCTTAATTTTGTATTTTTCTAGTAATTTTCTAGAAAATTTCTAAAATTTCTAAAATTTATTAATTCGTAACTTTTGTGTTAATTTATGTCCATGACCACAGACCCTTTCCTTCCCCTCCCAAACACCAATTTCATTCATGTTACTGTGTAACAGTTGAAATCAGTTCTCTTCTCTCTCCGTGCATAGACAGCAACAGCTCCCAGTTGTGCTCAGACAGAGGGGTAGAGCACATTTCTCAAACTTGCCATGACCATTACTTTGCTGTCAGTCAGCAATTTTTGGCGTTGATTTTTCCTTAAACTGCCCTACAGTTTTAAAATTAAGAGACTTTCTATGATTTCAATTTGATTTATTACATTATTTAAGTTTGTTTACTTCATTTTTGCCTCAGTTGGCTTTCCTTCTATTCTAATTTTTTCATAATGTTTCAGCAGGAAGAAATACAAAAGCAGGAAGCTGGAGCAGCAGCAGAGCATTTCCAGTTTCCCTCTTGGTCAGAAAATTCTGCACAAACTGCACATCAGAGGTGGCTTAAATGAGAGAGTGTGTCTCTGTGTATTCACCATTATTTATGCTCACTGCCTTTCTACTGTTTCCTCAAGCAATAAATGTTGCATTTTGTCCAAAGGAGCAACCACCACTAGCTGCTGCAACAAGTATTTTTTTTTATTTCTTTCAGGTTCTAGATTACATATATACTAAAATTGCTGGGAAAAAAACCCACTGGATGTAAGTTTGTCATAGCAGTAAGCTTAGAAATGCTTTTCTCCCTATGGTGGCTTTGTAAAAAGAAATACTCCTCAAACCTCTGCCCTGTAATCAGCTGAGGACCCTAACGAAAAAGCACTTTTCGAAAGTGCAAAGATATAATAGTCCCAAGATGAATCTGCCCTACAGTTCCATTTTCTGCCATACAAACGTTTGGGAGCTTATCATTGAAGCCACATTAGTCTTGATTTAAGGTCTTTTGACACATTATTACAGCACACTGCCATCACTTCACACCTGTCATTCTGTCAGTCAGAAGAGAGGGAGGGGAAACAATTTTGATGTCAATCAACAAATCCTTCGGGAGGTGTAACCTGTTAAGACATATTACCCTTTGCCCATTGCGATTTACAGGCTTTGAATGTAAAGGACATATGCCAGAAATAATTAAAGACTAATCTTTATTGTACTCACTTACGAATGAAGGCATTTAGTACCACCAGCACATTTATATTGTCCAGAAGAAGAGAGAGATAGAGGAGCAGAGTGTGCTACTACAACTACTCTTTCCATTTCTATTAATCAATTGTTCTGTCTGATGTTAAAATCCTCTGCCCTCATGGAGTAAGGTAGCCTTTCCCCTTACACTTGTATTAATGTCCTAGCAATATACAGATGATTCCAGTAGGATGCAAGATATGTAACATTGTTTTTGAATCAAAAGAGTGTTTTAAAAATAGAGAGAAAAAAGGCATGAAATTATTGAAAAAATTATCAAGTGAAATAGGAAAAAAACCTCAAAAAACCCAAAACAAAACAACTTATTCTGTCCTCTACATCTTAGTGGCTACAAAAATCCATCTCAGCCTGGAGAACTACAACTTCCATAGGCATGGCTTTGGATCACCTCGTAACTACTCTGTTGTAATTTACTTGGAGGTATCAAAGGAGTGATGTCAACCTCAAAATCTGAATTTAGGATCTAAATCCTGAGCTGAAGGAGACTATTTTTTTCCCCAAGCTACATTTTCAGAGTGACACAGAAGAAAGAAGCATTTACACAGCTTGTTACTGTTCACAACTCATCTCTGGAAGGAACATCTTGTCCTTAGACTGACCTTAGAGCTACAATCTAAAGGAAATAACAGCAAAACAAGAATAGCTATGGAGTAAATAAAATAACAGGCAGGGACTATATAGTCTGGAGAGAACCAGAATAAAAAAAATTAATTATATTGTAAATTTTTTTACACTACTGCACTGTATTACTATACATACAGCTGGTTTGGGCAAGAAGCTGGGTGGAATTGTGGAAGCTCTGACTTGCAGCTGCCACCACATGCAATCAAATCCCTGCTGGGAGGACAGTTTTGCAGTTTTGCTACCTAATTTAAAACAAATTCAGGCTCATTGTCCAAGAGGCAAACCCTGCATCACTAACTTATCATCACAGAACATTTTCTTGCCTCTCCTTCCAGTTCCACCTCTCTCATTTATGTGCAGACTCACCCCCACACAAACACACAGGAAGAGACGAGTGGAGGTGGAACAAGAGAGCAATTGCCCCAGACCTTTAAGGACAAATACAGCACTCCCAGATGAGCACATTGAGTGTGGTGGGCTCTGCTGGTAGGTGGGTATCACAGCCACACAGGTGATCTGGACACGCATTTGAGTGCCCTCAATTTGCATTCACAAATAGTTTTCACCAAAAAAAAGGCAGAGATTCACAAGCAGCCAAAAGCATTGTGCCTACATCTGCTTATTAATTTTACCTGAGGGAATGGAAGGGCTGAATTGGCTTTAGCTGGTAGTAGTGACAGAAGTGCACACTTACAGTAACAGTTCATTTTCCACTTCCTAAAATAAGGAATCAATCCCCCATTTGAAAGACTTCACCATCTCAGCTCTCACAGTTTGAAGAGGTACTTTGAAGGAGTGGGAAGTTGAAAGACAAGGAAGTTGTAAGGAGAGGTGGATTTTAATTCAACATTTTTTCACAGAGCGAGGAAGAAAACAAATGATCCCCTCATCATCCTTCTAAATAGATACTCTTTACCTCTTTTCACATTTTCATTACACTTTCCTCCACCTCTACTTTCTGCTCTCCCTGGAGGTGGCTCAGACATGACCATGTCAACCAAACAGACCTTTTAGCCCAAATTCAACCTGCTGGGGTACTCATATACTTTCAGTCGCTGTGGCAAGTTAACATACATCAGCAGCTGTCCCTTGACTGTAAGCTATAGGGGAAGCAAAAAACAGTACTCCAATTTTTACATGAGAAGCCAAGACTCTCTAGGACAGGCCAGAATTGCTGATTTCGGGGAGAATCAGCACTCACAGCCATGCATAAAGCAAAAACCAAATAACTATAGCTAATACAGGAGCAAAAGATTATAAGCAGTGTCTTGTCTGTATTTTGTGGTAACTGTAACATAAAGAATCTCTGTTTTACCTGCTGGCAGCTGATGGCTGATTCTGCTTTTGCAGAGGCAACATTTTTAAAGCAGCACAGGCAATGGAGTAAAGCTGGTAGAAAATGTGATTGAGGCTGGTGGAAAATGTGAATGAGGCTCTTAGTTTGAAACTGGTCAGAACAGAACCTTGCCAGCCTGGAAGACTGTCGAATATGCTGTGACATTTAATCAACTGCTTGACTACAGGCTCACCTTTAGTGTCTGTGGTGAAGTGAACATGATTCCCCTCACCTTGCTTCACATCACACATCACTTTTCAGTGCACTGCTGTAGAGAGCTGGGTTATAGCCTTTTTTTTTTTCCCTAAGAGGAACACAGTAACAGAGGTCAGCTACAGTCATGAATTTTATGAAAGGTTTGCTGGGAAACCACATTAAATGGCAACATCAGTCCATACATCAGCTCTGTAGTGCTTTTATTCCAAGACTCTGCAGCTGAGTGATTTGCAATGTACTTGCATTTCATGGCCATCATTTTTAAGCAATGTCATTTGCCTTGGTATCCGACACTTCAGCTGCACCAGAATCCACCCAGCTATTCATGATAAATTTCTTCCAAGAAAAAATCTCCACAAGAAACACTCCCAGGATCCCCAAACTCCAATCTTCAGAAGCCTTGGATATAAAAACAGGCACGGACACCTCAAAATGCAGTAGTGACTGAAGAGAAAAAGCTAAGAATAAAATTACTGTCCCGGAATTCAGAGAAGTAAAAAATTTTGATTAAAAATTGAGGTCAACCGGATGCTATGAAAGCATAAGATAAGGTCTATATCATTAACATGGCAAACTGAATGCTTTTTTTTTTAAAGTTTTTGAAGGAAAACTGACACAAATTACTTTTTTCTCCAGAGAATTTTTTTTTCCCAGAAATGATATCAACTCTATTCCGATCACAACACTGGGTATTTTTTTGTGTTTACTATTGTAAAATATTCAGTTGCAGAAGTTATGTCATGTCTATCATATCATAGATCCATTTAATTGTAAATATGAAATTGTGTTAAAACACTGGGCCTCTTAATCCCTTCTGAGAAAGGGGTTACTTGAAAGGTAACAGTAAACACTCAGATTTGTAAGCAGTGTGTTAATATTTGAACATCAAGGAAAGACTCTCTATCATCATAAGTAAACTTTAATAAAAGTCTAATAAAAGTCATACTCCTACTGAGATATCTCAAAGTGCTGGATATTAGGCTGTAATCTTTATGGAGATATTTCTTGCATTTTGGAAATTGTCTACTCTGGCATATTTAGGAGCGCTCACAACTCAGGAAGTATGCTCCCAAAATGGCTTCACAAACTAAAGTTTTAAATATCAGATGTCTTTTGACAACAGTACCTACACATGGATGCACACTCCTCCTAATTTCACTTAGGGATTCTTAGGCCAGAATTCTGTCTACAAATCAAAGGAAAGAGAGCATAATGTAGCAGGTGTGACAACAGCTCAGCACTTGGCCCAGTATTTCGGAAAGAGAGGAAAACGGTACCCAACAGCTATGGACCCTTAACAGCTGGAAGTAGCAGCTGTAAGGCTTTTATTGGCCTTCCTGTTTTGACAGACTTAATTTCTATTGCAGAATTTCCAATAATCACAGTAAATGCCTGCAACACCACACAGCCACTACTCTAAATCAAAGCTACTTTACCAGAAGGACTCAAGCAGTCCATTATCTCCACCTGTTAGGAAGGTAATCTGTATCCATGACAGGGAGAAACTGCACGGCCACACTTAACTCTTGTTACCAGTCAAGAAACCCTATTTGTTGCAGACCCATTGCAGCCATGGCAAACTGACTCACCTTGGATTTGGTCCTGTCTCCACTTTAGCTCAATGGCTGTGCAGTCAGTCCACAGAATGCCTTCCACTCTAGGACCAGGGAGACTGAGTGCTTGGAGCATTGGTCGTTGGCTCAGTATTCAGAAAGTAACACTGCAAACAGAACTGCAGTAGATAACACAGCAAGAATGGTTAGCTACATACTTTAAATAAACACTTCTTTTTTAACCAGAAACCTCATCTATTTGTTCCATGTGAAATATCTCTCCTCCAGGAATAGGAGTTGCACATGCTACCCAATGAAACTGAGGGAGCTGAATTAAGGTGCTGGTAAGATGGGATCAGAAATCACAGTAAACATCCTTTCCATTTATGCCTTAAGTTTTATACAAAGAGTAACTTATTTCTTCAAACCTTATGAAATATGTGTATTTAGCCATGGATCAAGAAATATTAATAAAGAATTGGCTGACCTCTTGGTTGTTGTAAAAATTAGAAATGCATGTTTCCCTGAGAAAATTGAATCTGATCGCACTATTTAAGCCAAAACCAGAGGATGTTGTAAATGAAGTTTCAGTTCATTATAGCATTTCTCAGATGCTAAACCTTAAGTCTGAACCCCTTCCAGGTCATTCCAACATCAGTGGTTGTCTGATGATGCCTGACAGGCACACAAAAAATGAATTCTTATTATCTTAGTTTCAATGCCTAAATTAGAAGACTCCTCATTAGAAAATGGACACCACAGAAAATACTACCTGTGGTACTTGTTAGCTGTTACCACACAGCAAGGAAAAGCCAAAGCCAAAAAAAAAGGCTTTGGAAGAAAGACAAAGTTCTCTTTTCACCCATTCTCTATGCTTGACAAAGAGGACAAACTGATAGGGCATCTACAGAAAAATCTACTGAACAAGTGTCCTGCTTTTCTTTATATTCTAGCAGTTCTACAGAGTGAGAGAAATGCAGTCCCCAGCTCTGCCAGCGTGATGTTCTTCACAGAAGAAAAAGGAAATGTGCACATCTGTAAATTTCAGCAGTAGCAAAAGTTTAAGGGTGCTGTCACCCCCTCCATTGTATATACAGCTTGGTAAATAAGGCAGAGGGAGCTGCTCTGGGCAAAACTATTCGGCATTCTGTGCCCAGCCTTCCCTCCCGAAATAAAATACAATGCTCAGTTTTTAACCCTGGTTCTTTGATGTATGGCTCTGTTCTACCTCATCATTCTAGTATGATTCAACAAACATTAGAGAGAAATTCTTCTGTTTAAATCCTTTACTGCAACAGAAGCAAATATCTTACTTTTAGAAAACACATTTCTTAAAGATAAAATACAACTCTACAATACTCTTTCAGATAGATTTGCCATAAGTCAGATACCCTTGTTCAAATAATGGACTATGAACCTAATTTATCTTGTGCCTTCAAGAAGTACAGAAGTTGCTCTTATTAAGGTGCTCCATTATGAGAGTCTGTGACTGGTACAATGAATTGTTTTTCAGCTGTGCTGTGGTTGCCATTATAAGTCTTCTGGTTGAATGAAAAGGCAATTAAGGGGGAAAGTATTTAACAAGAGACCAGAACAAAATGATATAGTTTTAAGGACACATCATGATTACAATGACATTTAAAGTGTCATTCAGCTGAAATAAAATAACAATATAGAACTGCACAGGACTCTGGCAAGAGTGACAGAAACAAATCTATTAACTTAGGAGAAAAAAAGCCACTTCATGCTGTAATAATACCTTTAAGTCCCAAACATTTGTTTCCCACCTCGTTTTCACTTCTCACCAAATTACAAGTGTATGCAAGAGCAAATATAAGTTTCTTATTGAAATGACCTTATCAAATCTGTACCTGGATGATTGACATACCTAGATGGAGTTTTCTAATGTTCTGTTTTTAAAAGACAAGCTTCCTTTTAAATTCTGAGTTTTAAAGGTTATCATTCAAATTTTGAGGAAACTACTAGAGTGCATAATAAATCCAGAAAAACCCTCCAAGTTCTTCTATTACTTAAAGAATATAAGTCAGTCCAGTGTGAGGAAACAGTCCTTGTGCTAGGCAAAAATACAGTATTCAAATATGACAGCACTCTATGCTGTAAAAAAAGGGAAGCAGAAGTAAAGAAAAGCAAAGATGTGAAATGCTTTAATAATGGCTCTTGCTGTTAAAGCTGGATTATACAAAGTACAGTGTAGGTCTCCTGAGGTATAAACACCTGAGATCTTATTTAGGTTTTGCCTAAAAAGTCATCAAATCAAATCCAAGTTTTGGTCCTCAACACCAATGTTTCAGCAAGGTACTTCTAGGAGCTGGTGTATCTGATACTACCTGTAGTAAGCCAGCCTTGTGCTTTATTCTGTTTGCCTGTTGACTCTTATTTGACATTTAAACATTGTTTGCTCATTTAATTTTCTGCTAGTTCCAGAAATTCAATCAAACTAGGTTTCAGCAAAAATCCTGGTTTTTATAAAGTTGTGTCTGGGTGCAACTTTCATTCATCTCTGTATTAGTTTCTGCTGCCTTTAATGACATTTCTTCATCTCTTTCCCAGCACCCTACAGGAGGCCTTGTTGGAAGAGAGCAAAATCAGAGCTTCTGGTTTTGCTTTGATTTTGCTTCTACTTCAACTGAAGGCAATAAATAACAATTCAAGAGAGTGGCATCTGAAGCTTTCCTTCCTTCCTTCCCTTAGCAGCAGTATTGCTGTGAAAGGCAGCGACAGAGTACCTGTTAAAGTCTCTTTTTCTTCAAAAAACAACAGAAATGGTAATTAATGAATGAATCTCACGAACTGCCCTTAGCAGGCATATCTTTCTTGAACAATTTTTCTGGGCTTTAGTGTAAAGTCAAGGAAAGTTCCTTCTGGCCCTTTCTGTCCTCTCCCACCCCAAAGTTCCAGCCCAGCTGTGAAGTTGCGCTGTTGCTCACACTGAGTAGGGGTCATGTAGAACAGTTCTCAATGACTAACAGGTTTCTCAGGCTTATCAGTATGTGTATGCTCATTTTAAAAACCATCTTGCAAAAAGTTTAACTCACAACACCATTGACAAGAGTTTCTCTCTGTAGATCTTTTACTTGAATTGCCACAGAGCAAGTGAAGGGGAAATTAATTGTGATTGCAGAAGCATCATGGGACCAATTCACATCTGACATGAATCAAATTCCACTGAAAGTGTGAGAATATCTCTGTGAACACTGGGTATGGCATTTCACAAGGAGCAGAAAGAGCTTTTAGAATTATTTGCCTACATCAGGTAAATCATTTAAAAACTAGGAGATAGTAATGCTTTAGTCAGAAAAAAAAATGCTTTCTATTGTTATTGTTAAAGAAACTACAGATCAAAAAGGTGAGGGAAAAGCAGAAAGGTTTTTTTCATCCATATTAACAAAATGATACATTTAAAATGAATTTTTTAATTATGTGGGGAAATAATACACTGATGTAGTGGTTGTTAAATAACAGAAATTAAAACGCAAGCCTGGACTGCAACCT